TAACTACAAAAAGAGATCTATTTAGTTTATTTATATTCGCGAATAAACTCGTTTAAGATTTTTTTTAAAACTCATTTATTTATTATTCATTTATAATAATAATAATTATATTGTTATCTTTTATCCTAATCTTAATTTAATATTCGTTTAGCTTTATTTTTATTCGTTTGCTTAAATTTGTTTAATTATGATTTATTTATTATTTATAAATATGTTTATTTATATATATTCGTAAATAAATTCGTTTAATGTTTATGAATAAATTTGCTTAACTTAATTGAACTGAAAATGAACATCTTACTATTTAAACAAATCAAACTCAAAAGAACAAAACAATTTTCTTACCGAATACAAACTGAATCTGAATACTTCTAAAAAATAAATGAACAAATCATAGGCATATATTCATTCATTTATATTCGGTTCATTTACATCCCTACAAACACTAATTTGTAGTAAACTATATAATATTTTCATCCTAGATGAGATTCTCACCTTATATCATTTTAGTGGATTATTTTTGCATTATCATTTTCAAAAAAAAATTATAAATATACATAGACCCTCGCTTTCTTCTCCCAATACCTTAAAATTAATTTTCCCAACTTGTTTTTTTTATTATTATTATGAAAAATGAATTAAAATAATATAGGTTGGAAAAGTTTGGATTGTTGAAGGCTAGTGAATAAAATTTTAGAAGTTGAATATTAATTAATTAAATTTGAATCCATTTGACAATGTTACGCTAAGAGAGGGCTAGTGCCTTCTATACATTCCATTATTTTGTTCAGTATATGAGTAGGATCCATTGATATTAATATTAATTTTATATATTTTTAAATTTTTAGATCAAAATTAATTTTATGATTAATTTAAATTTAAATAATATTTTTAATTTTAGTCATTTTGCTTCAAGAGTCAAAAAAATATATAAAACTTATATTAATATAAATGAATCCTTTCTCTATGTATACAAAAATCCACAAACGTGTTTACCCACTTGTTCTCATTCGTTAATATCAATGGTTACATTTATAATATGATTTTGTTAACACAAACTTTTATGAATTAGATAGAGATAATTAAGTTACCTCAGTCAAAAGGGCCAAAGGATATCGAGGGAGCTTCCTAGAAATTACATGCGTAAAGAATACTTCTTTCTCTGGTTTTGGAGTTCCTGTTTGTTATACTACGTTCTAGTCATGCAAACAAGTAAACCCATGATTATAGTAATTAAGAATCTATGTTTGGATAGGAATTCTGGCTGTCCATTTCAATAATTGTTTCCCATATATTAGTAAAAAAGTGCAAACGATGTACTAGAAATTAATTATGTAATATCTACTCATGGATTAACATAATCTACTCTCTTTTAGTTTTACAATTTACATTTGCTCGATTAGAAAAGATAAAATGCAATCATTGAAAACAGAATTTCAATCTTGCATGAATTCATCTTATTAGGAGTATTTGATAATAAAAAAGGTATAGTGATTTTTTTTCTCTTATAAATTTTCGATAGATAATCAGAGGTATTTCTATCATTTGTATTAATCTGATATATCAGATCGATCTAACATATTTAGTGCCAAATAAGCTTAGCACTATTCTTATTGTCTTTTAATAATCTCTTATAACTTATCTATAAATATGAAGATCTAAGTATCGTTAAAGAAGTTCATTTAACTCACTTTTTTTCTTTTTTACTTCCTTTTTAATCTTACTTTTTTTTATTTATGCATCAAAATATAAATATAAGAAACACACCCTATCTTTACTTTTAATCACTCTTCTCTTATGTATTTCAAGAATGCCTGATGTTGGAATTCGGCACAAACACATCTCATCAAATAAATGGATAAATTATTTGAACTAATTTCTAAAAATTTTTTAATTGTACATATCCGTGCTCTTGAAAAAGAAAGAAATAAAAAATTAGTAACTAAAATTTCCTTAATTTCATCTATTTTTTCGCATCATTCGAACCACCTTATCATTAAACAATATAAATATCAAATTTTTTTAATGAAAAAATGAGGTTTAGATGGAAACAACTCAACATTTTGACATACATTGCAAGCAAGCGACATTTAACTTAAAAAACGAAAAGCTTCTAATGGTTTTGCACTGAGTGATTGATTTGAAAGTTGGCTTTGCGAATAGACTTTAACATTTTCTTCATATATGGACAAAATTAACTAACAGTGCCTTCGAATTATGTCAACCAATTCTAGTTTAAAATAAAAAAGTTATTATATCTTGGCCTACCTACAAAATCAAGAGGAAAGTCAAGATAAGGTTAAACTAATAACAATTTCATCGAATTTGCAAGAGCTACGTGTAAAATCAATTATCAATTGATTGAGTCGGTCTGGTTTGACTTCAAAGTTAGCAAAGTACTCTTTCTTTGATAAAGATTTTGATTGGTAATGAAGAAATTATTTCATTTCTTGTTAGTGTAGCTCTTTTTATAAGTAAAATTAGTAAGGTGATATATATGTTTAGAATATATTAAAATTTTAAAAATTAAATATGAATAAATTATTTTTGTTCGTAAAACTAAAAAATTATATTGATAATTATATAAAAAAAAATGAAGATAATTAGGGTTTTTAGTTTTGATGGTTTTTTACTCAACTTGTAGGTTTCTAAAAATCTACGATTTTCATTACTTAGATACCCTTTTATAGGGCAAGAAAAAATTTTGTATCAAATATCAAATGAACGAGTCAAGGAGGTCATCACCAAGAAAAGAAAAATAAAAATAAAATCACATCAACAATTACTAATATTTAGAGTCAAAATAAACAAACAAATTAATTATGAAAATTACATGTGAACAGATTAATAATATAATAAGAATTTCCTTTTTTTTCATTAATTTCCTTCTTTTGATGGCGATCTGATTTCTAAACATTTAATTTGAAAGTGATACATGATTGACTTACCAAACAACTTAAAATCTTAATAAATGCTGCCACAAGAATACAAAGAACCAGGTCAATTTTGTTTAGGCTAGCTAGTGCTACTCTCTTTATCTCCTTTTGACTTTAAGAGCATGGACCCGTAAACACAAATCTATGGGTTTCATTTTTGTTTCTTTTCCCCTAGCTAACATTCCTCTTTTCTCTTAGAATATTCGCCATATGTTGAAAAAAAAAAAGAGCTAATCGGTAACTCATCACCAATTATAACATTTTTTTTTATAAAGAAGAGAACCAAAAAAAAAATTGTAAGTATTAAAATTTAAATTTTAAAATTATTAAATATAATTATTTAAAAATAATTATATAACAAGCTTTGATTTATATAAATATGTATAATATATTTCTCCTGAAAGTGCATGCATGCTTTAGCTCCATATCGGGTATCCTACATGCATATTAATATATTATATTTGTAAGATAAAACATTGATTGTTGTACGAAAAAGATTCAGCTTTAGATTTTGCTCCCAACAAAAGGAAGTACTGCAACCAATTGCCATTTTTCAGTATGATCAAAAGAGAGAAATCAAGTAATGCAACCTGAAAACAGTTACTATATTCATTAGGGGAAAAAGCTAGCTAGCTACAGATATAGTATTTTTTAAAATGCTAGATGAATGTCCTCCATGAACATCGTGGGCATGCAGCATCTCATCTCTCAACTACATAATCTGCCTTGAGAATGCCAACAGTGACATGTTTTATGTGTTTATAATCTTTTTAGCTGGGTGGGAGTAACTGTTTTGGAAATAAATAATCGTTTTTGATGCATCAGAGAGATAAGGAGAGTAATATTCTTGAACCTGTGAGAATCTATTTATGTTTAAAATAGTGTTCATGATTATTTTGCCATTTTGATTCTTTCTTATTAATTAAACCCATGCCATAAATCAAGGAATGGAGAAACTCATGGGATTGCTTTAAAGTGAATACAAAAATTTAGTACTAAATCTTGAAGCTGTCGGGAGAATAAGATTCTGTCACAAAGTATTTTAAATTTTACTTGCATCTAACTAATCTTATGATTTTAAAGGTGTATTCCTTCATGTGAATTTAATGCATTCAAAATTTTACTTTCGAAATATTCTGGACAAGGACTAAACTTTTTTTTACAAGAAAAAAGAGTTTTTTGTACCAACTGGACTAGCTCTTGGGGTCTTGAGGTATATAATTGGAGAATTTAAGCTCACAAGGGTATATAATTTGACAGAATATAAGAAATTTTGATGGAGAAGATCACCAAGAATGGTTAGTCAAGCTATGATTATGTTTAGGACCAAGCAAACCAGACAAGATAAATCTCATAAAAAAAATTTGTTTTAGAAAAACAATGTAATAATCCAAGATATTCTGTTATAATCAAGCAGCCAACACTTGATCGACCCCCCAGCAGAAAAATAGTGCAGAAAGTACTTACTACTACTGGGTAATTTGATCGAGTTGGCCTTATTTCTAGTTGAAAGGAACTATATGACATGGACTAATAACATGTGCGTTCAAAGCTCCCAAATGTTTTAATAGCAGACATGAAGATAACAATAAAAGAATGCAGCCACAGTCAGATACCCAATTTGCTAGAGCCTAGGAAGTTGTGGCCAAAACGTCAAAGCACCTTTACAAATTTACTACTGTGCCTTTTCATGGATGCCTAGGCGGGCCTTTATAGCAGATGCAAAAGAGAGAAAAAAGAAGTGTACTTTTTTTTTTGCATTGTAATTAAGAAATATACCATAAAGTTCATCAGACAGTGCTGATCCTGGCGACCAGAAATTTATAAATAAAAGCATGATATTGAAGTTGCAAATATATGACTGTATTCAAAGTGCAAAGCCGATTTGGACTCAACTGCTTTATCTGATTAATTACTGTCATTTTAAGAACTTATTAAGGATTTAGGATTCCACATTCAGCATTATTGAATAAAGCAAACAAGTGTAGAAGTTAAAAGCTAAAGGGAACCCAGAAGAGAAAAGCTGTTTATATAGATAAATCCAAAGTAGTTAATTAACTAATTTTGAGAAGATCAAAGGAAATGGCAAATTTATAAAAGTGGAATTACAAAACAAAACAATCTCTTCATGAATTCATTAGGAAGTTGTCTGAAATTCTCTGGCACCAAATTAATACTCCAGTTGGTACAAATTTACACCACCCATGTACACAGTGCCGTTGCTATGGTGGCCCGAAGTAGTTTGGTTCATCAAAGGTAGGAACTTGTGGCATGCATTGTTGGGAGGCTTCAAAACCAGAAAAAATTTGAGGATAGCCTAGAGAATTTATATCTCCCCAGCTGCTACTTTCTGCGGAACTAGTCACAGTACTGCTGCCATCGACCATGTTGTCCGTTCCATAAAAACTCTCCAACCCATCCAATATCTGTTGATTGTTGCTGTAGATCAGCTCACTTAGCGCAGCTGGGAAAGCATCAAATCCTTGAAACATATCATTAGGACCAGCAGCCTCGCTAACATTAAAGTGGGTACTGTTTGTCACTTGAGAACAAGTACTGTTTATGGGACTAATGGAAGATGCAGATGAAAGCATGTTCGAGGAATTCTCATATAGTTGGTCTAATTGAGCAAAAGAAACATCAAGAGGATCTTGGTTTGTGCCTGTCAGGGGCACGACTGCCGGTAGCTGTGGCCAGTATGGGACTTGGCTCACCATTCCAGAAAGCATATAATTCTCACTTTCTATCTTCATCTCTTGCTTAAGAGTGAGGCAGCTAGCTCTCCGAGCTTGTTGCTCTTTTCTCTGTTTGCCCAGGAGCTTCTTTTTAAGCCTTGTGTTCCAGTAGTTCTTAATATCATTGTCAGTTCTCCCAGGCAGTTGTGCTGCAATTATAGACCATCTGTGATTCAAAAGAAACATATAAGTTAGAGCTTGAATTCTGCATATATTAAGAAGAAAAGATCCTAATTATATTAAGCTTACCTGCTTCCAATGCTCATGTAAAGGCTGCAGATTATGTTATCCTCTTCCTCTGAGAACCCTCCATGCTTAATGTTGGGTCGAAGATAATTCAACCATCTAAGACGACAGCTCTTGCCACATCTCTTAAGCCCTGAAAACAGTATTGTTCAAGAGATAAATTTAGACTAATCTAGCTTAACTAAAAGAAAATTAAATATAGTGATATCTAAGAAGTGGAAAGGTTTAATAATTCAACTTTAGCTGGCTAGGTTACCAACCTATCTTCGGAGGCAAGGCAATCCAGTTGCCACCAGTGCCGTTTGCCTCTATATAGTCCTTAAGCTTGGCATCTTCCTCCGGCGACCATGGACCTTTCTTCACGTTTGCTTTGTCACAGCAAGGAGCTCTACCCATGTTTTCTGTTTCTTGAGTTGAGAGAATTTGAAAGTTAGCTTCTCTTTTCTTGTCACTTGACAATAATGAGAGTGTGGTAATATATATATATATATATATATATATATATATAATATAAAATAAAGAGAGAGGGAGAGTATAATGTCCAGAGGAAGACAGACTTAGAGATGGAACTGTCCCCCCAGGATTCAAAAAGGGAAATGGGAAAAAAAAGATTAAACTTTATGCATAAAATATTGAAGAAATCGAAAGTGCCAGAACAGGAGACCAGTATTTATCTTATTGTCCTGCTACCTCCCGAATCTATGATAATCTAAATTGTTAAATATGTATTATCATTTGCTACGTTGATCAACCATCTCCACAATTTGACTCTCTCTCTCTGTTGTACCCCTGACACATGATCAAAGCCTGCTATGTGCGGTATGATGATGATGATCAAGAAATTAGTGGACCCAGTAAAGGTGGGTAATTAGTAAAGATCAGATCAGATGGGTTGAATGGTTCTTCAGCTACGGTACGTGGCTTCTGAGTAATTGCCACACTTCATCATGTAAAGAAATAAACGTCATGGTTCTGGAACAAATCTAGAAATTGGAAGAGACCAATCGCTGTTGAGTGCTGAGTAAGAACACAAATGCTGGCCTAATTATTAAAAAAAAATAATGTGGTTTATGTTAGTGGATTTATAGTTTTAAACTCTCTCTATCAGCCAGAATTTTTTTCTTGCTAAAAAGAGAGAATTTGATTTCAATTGGCCTTCTTTTGATTTTCCCATCTTCAGCACCGTCTGGTGTCAACCCTCCACCCAAAAAACAAGTTACAATAAATATAGAGTCAGCTGCCTGTAATTAATAGAGGATGATGAGATATAGTTGAATTTTTTTTTACATAAAAATAATAGTTTGAAAATAAAAATAAAAAAATTTTAAATTAAATATTATTTTTTAAAATAATTACGTGAATCAATTAATTTAAATTTCAATTCTTTTATATTTTTTCCTCTCTTTCTTTGTTTTTTGTTTTTAAGATAGGGTTAAAGTTGAATTGAGATATGATTTGACCTCCTAAATTTACTGGACATATATTAATATATTGGCAATTAAGATAAGACAAATGTTGTTAGTAGGGCACATGCCCTAATAAATCTTAGAAATGAAATTACCCTAGCAAGTTTTTCTGTCTTAAAAGAGAAGTAACATAGGTAAACAAAAAAAAAAAAAGTGATCTAGAAACATAGACATTGTCAAAATACCACGAGAATGTAGAATTTAAGGGGTATTCTGTTAGGTTAGGTGACCAAATTAATGGCCAAACAAGAAGAAAATTACCATGATCTTGAAGAGGGGAAACTCTAGCCGACGTTGAATTTACCACTAACCAATTAGAATAATAGTAATAGGGTAGCAATAATAGATGGCTTTCAATCTTTTAAGGGTAGATAGGTTTAACAATAATAATTTAATCGTACAATTGACCAATGATCAAATTGGGTTCCAATTACAATAAAAAAAATTGATATAAATTAAGAAAGTAGTACAAGTTTAGTAGCGAAAGCAGGGAACGAGAAAGGAAGCCCACCATCGTGTCAATTGCGTCACGAAACAGACATTTTTGCCTGTCTCTTATGGCTTTTCATATTTGCTAAATTTTGTCACCCTCAACATGTCATTCACACTTGTCCACTAATAATACATATTTGTTAGTCATAATTCATAGTATTTATTTTTTAAATTTAGATTAGATTGTTCTAAATGATCAGTTTAAGGGAAATATAGAAATAATGAACACACATACATATAATACATGTAAATGTTAGCTCATTTAGTTCAAAGAAAAGAATGCTTGAAAAATTAGTTCATAACAGACATTTTAGAGATAAAACATATTCATGCAAAATTTTAAAAAGGGTTTTTTTTTTTTAATCTTATTACTCACAAAGAGAGAAATGAAATATCAACAAATTTAAAGGATATAGTTGTAAAGATAACACTTCTATACAATTTACTTTTCATTTCTCTTTACATTTTTTAGCATAGGAGACTAGGATAATTTTACAATTAAATTAATCTAGAAATACAAACCCCAAAAATGTCATTATTAAGTAAACTTCAAATATCGTCAAGGTTTAGTAAAAATTATTCGCACAATTATTTTTAAAATGTTACATTTAATAAGTATAAAATTTAAATTTTAATTCTTATAATTTTTTTAGCTCAAACTATTATCTCCTTTATGTAAATTACATTTTATAAGAAATGATAAATTAATCTAAAAAGGAATTATAAATTTTTTTTTTTTTGCTTTTTTTCTTTTCTCTCTTGAGTTTACTATTCAAATAAGAAAAGTTTTAAGTTCTCTCTTACACGCTTCTCCTCTTGGTTCAAATCAGTTCAAAATATATTAATTTTACTTTTAGCCTCTAATTAGTCTCAATTTTGAATACAAAAAATCTTGTATAAATTTAAGGATGTTTGGACATTCCCTCACCAAAAAATTGCTCTTTAAAAATTAAATTTTTACCGTACACTGGTAATTAATAATGCAATACAGACTAGGTCATAATTAGATTTTTTAATTTTTAAGAGCGTTTGGTTAAATAAAAAAAGTTTCCTTTTTTAAGTGTTTTTAAATTTCAAAAGAAAAGTAAAAATTTTATCTTATTTATCTTCATTTAATTACGTTTTAAGACTATATTATCATTTATAATCTTTTAAAATTACAAAGTAATATAATTTTTTTTATTTATAAATTCAACAAGTATTATATTTTTATAATAAAACACATAATCGACATAAAATTATATTTTCAAAATTTTAAAATTTTAACAAAAATATCGTTTTTAAAATTAAAAACGTAATGGATATTGACATTTTTATTTTTAAAATTCTCAAATTTTAACAAAAATTGTGTTGTTAAAAAAAAAAAACATAATTTTCGTTGATACTCATAACAAAATTAAAATAAAACATAAAATATTTTTACTTAATATTATTACATATAAAATCTAAAATATATTTATTTAATATTATTATATATTAAATTTATTCCGAGAGCTTCACCCTCTAAAACTTTTTGGAGGTTTATCACCACCCTTTTTAACTCTTACGTCAACTTTACAACGAAGATTGATCCTCATTTTTTTGTGTAAAGATAATAAACGTAAAGAAAATAATTAAAATTATTAAATTATTTTTATTAAAAATATAAAAAAATTTTAAAAACTTTAATTTTAATAAAAATATTATGTTATTCACGTTTAATGAGTTATAAATATCATGTATTATATTATCAAAAAAATATAATAAATAATTTTATTAAATAATTTTATATTCCTTTCGACCAAAAAAAAATTATATTCTCTAATTCTATAAAATTCAAAAATCATAATTTTTATTAATAATATATTTTTTAAAATTAATTTTTTAAAATTTAAAAATCCGTGAATTAAATGCTCGGCTAAAGGAAATCAATAAAAGAAGCCAACTATAAATGCAAAAGGAAGAAAAACGTTGCTCGGAAAATGTGGCTGACTTGACTTGGGATCATATCTATCGGTGTGAAAGTCATAATTTGGAAATTAACCCAATATAAAATTGCTGTTGAATTTTTTTTCACATGCTTTGAATTTTATTTTCCATGATTTTGAATACTTTTGTTGCATTAGCTAAAGCCTTGCCATGTAAAAAGTAAAGTTGAAGTACACAACTTTTTCAACACGAAACCCTACTTTGAAAGGTGAAATGTGAAATGGTCTCCTTGGTAGGCCACAGCTTGCTCAGCTCATCAAATCAGCTTTCCCTCTCTCACTCTCTCTCTGTTAAATATATGGAGACTACTTTGAAATAGTCTCTTTGACAGTCTTCTCAAGCTGTACAGCTTTGGGATCAAAACCCTTAATTTTTGTCCACAAGGCATCTTTCTCTAACGATGCTTTTGCTTTTTTATATATGTCCTCTGGGTATTTTTCTAACGACATTGGCCAATGCAAATTTGACATTGTTTGAAAAGACAGAACAAAAAGAGACAGCGGAAACAATTGTGGGAAGAAATTTGCAGTTCATTTATCGATTAAAGTAATCCTTAACGATAGGAAAAGCCACTTGTTTAGGTAAAGAGAGAAAATCATCTCATAATGATGGGATAATGATGATATAATTGTGGCGTTTGGTCTTCTGTTCATATTACTAGCTAGATAATATTTTTTTTTAATTTAAATGGTTAAGAATTGAACTCTTTTAATTCAAATTAAAATTTTAAACTATTTACAATAATTTCACATTATATGTACACTTTAATTTGGTAAAATAAATCAATAAAAAACAATGAAAAATGAGAGGAAAGAAAAAAATAAATATTATTATTTCTTTGGATTCCTATTTAAAAGAAAGAAATGAAAGGATTAAAAAAGAGTAAAAAAATAATTAAATGTATTATTTTATTTAGATTAATGATTAAATGCTTCTCTCACGATCATTTGATGAAGAATTGAATTGAATTGAATCTCACTAGAGAAGAGCTTTTCACGTCCAAGTCGTCCATTTTTTTTTCTTTTATTGCTAAACAAGATATTAGGCTCCATTTGGATTAAACTGAAATATTAGTTCAATGCGTTTGAGTTGTTTTTCCATGCCAATCTCATGGTCAAGCAATGTTTGGGTAAAATAGGAATGGTGAGATTGAATCATTCTGCCCGTATCGAAGGCTCTAGGTTGGCTTAGTCCATCAGCAAATGAAGTCTTAAAGCTTGCTCGTTCAATTCTCTACTCTTAATTTCTCTCCAACCAAACACAACATAATTATGAGGCATAGCATAGAAAATATTATTAGTAATCAAAGAAGCATGAAACTCAACCTAGAAACTTTTTTGGAGATTAAACTGAATAATGTTTCTTTTTAATGTCAAAAACTGCATAATGGGGGATAAAAATTTTTTGTAGAATGATCTAATAAACTGATCATTTTAATCGATCAGCATATCTCCAGCCCATGCATGATATCTGGAAATTTTGTCATGCAAAGCATAACGCTGACCGACTCTCTGCAGTCGTCAAGTCCTGTAATCAAGAAAGGAGGGTAGTCCAGGAATTGACTGCTACAACAAATTCCCTGAAGGATAGTGTGATTGAAACTTTCCTATGCTTACTTAGCCTTTTGTCCTCCATGAAAACCTGAAAAGCAAGTCAGCAACGCGGTTTCTCTTTTTTTGATACTGCAATATTAATGCTGAGTTTAAAGCTAAAGGAAAGAAATTACAAAAGATGATTAAAAGGTCAAAAGAACAAAGAAAAGACAAAATTTGAAGATAAACCCAGATTCTTAGTAACTTTAGAAGTTTCAGTACTGGTATGGCTGTCATACAATTTGATTAATATAATATTAAATTGTGGTGTTCTTTTCAGACCGTTTCCACGAAGCCAATGAGTTCTTGTAACATGTGTTCTTCTTTTGTTTACTTTTTTTTTCTTTTAACAAAGAAAAATTGTAAAAATGGATTGCTTTATGGGGGGAATATTAACTCTAGAAACCCTAGTGGAACAAGATATTTTTTTTTGTATACAAAGAGATCATAGTTTGGCATAGCAGGTGATAAAATTTAAACTTCATACTTACTAGAGGTCATTTTTTAAGGATTTTATATGAACCAATTAAATAAATTTTAAATTTAAGGTAATTTCTTTTTAAGAGACCTTCAAAACAAAAAAGACAAATGTTACATTGCCATAGGGCCTTACTTTTAGCAATGACTTCCATTGTTTTTCTAAGAAAGAAAATAAATTAAGATCAATGGAAAATGTTGAAACATCTTGGCTTTTGTCCGCATTTTAGCTTCTGATACCAATAGATTCTGATGAACATATTCAATCGTTCATCACGAATTGACTGGAAGAGAAAGAGGGAGCATGTTTGGGGAGGAAGCATCAATGTCAACTCGAACAAGTGATGAAATTTTTCATAAAGTTTTTGGACACATGACATTAAGGAAAGAAGCAATTAGCGAACTAGTAATCCTTTTTCAATTCAATAATGGTAGGTGCATGGGATGGACTTGACTAGACCAGCTCTTACCAGATCCGTGACACCCGTCATAGGCCGAAGTGTCTTTTATTTCGAGTTAGTGGGAAACAACCATAGCACACGACCTATTGAGTTCAACAAATCAAGCTAGAAAATGGATTGGTCAATAAACTCAGTTTCTTGCTTCAAAACAAGAAGTTTTAAAGATTCATTAACTTGAAAAATTCAAGATGCTTGTGTAATCGTGCATCATTCAAGACAAAACAATGAAAATTCTAACATAGTAAAAAAAACCCTATATCTTCATTAATAAAGAAAGAAAAAAAAAACATTTTAACTGTGACGCAGTGATGCCGCTGCATGAGTCGAAACATGCAAAGCTAGATGTGACTACATTATGCTAACTCAACTCAACAGTCCAATTCATCTTGTCTTCTGTAAAACCCATCTGGAGTCTGGTAAGCACGGAGTAGAGCTGTTGTGAAACAGCCCCGAAACCATCTACTCCATATGAAACCCTGCACGTTAAAATTTTACAATAAATTTAATTTGTCAAAACTTTAATGCAAAACCAAGAAGATAGACAACCTACTTCAGCATTTAGGCAGGAAGTCTTGCTTCAACTACACCGCTACCAGTGGCTTCAATCAAAGCATTTTTACTAGCCCTTTTATTTTCATTTGAAGGAAAAGGGAATTAAGTTTACCATCATAGAATGAAAACTTTTGTATATCTCATAAGTACAAAAACTATGTTTTATTACTTCACAAACAAAATTGTGACTTGATCCGAAGAAATAACAAGTCAATTCTACTTGCTTTCAAAATTATTAAAATTTACAGCAATAGCTGCAATTATACATGAAGGCTATTCAGTATTGTGGAACGTAAAATTATCTGCTTTACTCCACTCAATGTCCTTGTAAATGTAAAGCTCAACTACAGCCACTCCTAGCTTTCCATACAATTAGAATGTTAAAATTCCATTTACTAAAATAATATCCATTGAAAAAGTAGCTAATAAACACTAACGCCTACAGTCCCGATCTCCCACAATTGGAGACAAGTACAAATTGAAAATGTAAACAGAACACAAAAAAAAAAAAGCAAAATTATTAAGTTGAGCCAAAAGCATTTACTCAACTGGAAAGGGAATTACCTTTTACCCTTATAGGTAATGCTGCCAACTGGTGACACTACTACTGCAGTCCCTGTGCAAAAAACTTCGTCTGCATCAAGCAACTCATCCACTGGCACAAGGCGCTCCTCAACCTCCATAATCAGTAAATGAGCATTAGCAAGTGATCCAAGGAGCTTGCTTACATACTCAAAATGATGCAGACAAGCTACAATTATTATGTCATACAATATGAAACTGAAAAATTTTATTAACTCAATCCAGAGGAAACCATCCATGTAAAAGCGGAAAAAGCTGGCTCCATCATAGAGTATTGCAGAATACCTACCAACTTATTCAGAAGATATAGCTAAGTGAAGAAACTTTATTAACAAGAAAAAATAGTTCACTGTCATAGAATTACTTTATTAACAAGTAATTCTAAGTGACAAATATGAAAAAGAAAAGGATGGTAACCACTCTGAGACATTCTTTCATAACAAAAAATTAGTCAAGAAACACCAAAAACTATTATCTACATTAAAACAACAGCATCCACAAGTTGCAGAAACCAAACACAAGACATTCTCCATGATCCAACATGTAAATTTAGAACCATAGGGCTCCTACAAAAACAGTCCATATTTTGATTCCTGAATCATTGATGTCCAGGAACTCTTACATGCAGGCAACAAAGAATACTATTTCAACGTGCATATCACATATAACTCTATTATTTCGGCAAAATGTCTGAAAAAGGCATATTACAGAACAAGTACCTGGAACCCTTGGTTTTGAGCAACATCAATTATACTCTTTCTTGTGATGCCAGGTAAGATCGTTCCCTTTATCGCAGGAGTCGAGATGACATTACCCTTAAAACACAAAATTTATAGGTTAAAAGAATGGACTCATTAGTGTCAATTACACTATCTCAACATGTTTTAGCTCATCGACCATGGTCAAGTATAGAAAGATCTAAAACAAGCCTTATTTAACTCAGAAATCTAAACTCTTCAACAGCTTAGAAACAGAACAGCTTCCAGATGCTTTATTCAAATCATTTAAGAGCAATTATTTTATTGTAAAAAGATTAAACAAATTATCCTTACACATTAATTGAACTACACAAGTATTTAAAGATATTAGATTTAAAGATGGGTTATAAGAAGCTACATCATAGTAAAAGTAAAAGTTTTAACGAGTGGCTATAGTGACACAACTATATGTAGCAGTCATTTGGTCAAAGTCAAGATACTATGGTAACGATGGTACCCCAATTTGTAGTTGAATGTCAAACTACAAAGACGGGAAGTTTTCTATTCCAGTGCATCATGAACACATTCAGGGGGAAGATAAAAGCCAGGAGATCATGGCAACAGAACATGGTCCACTGGCAAAGTTTCATTATGAAGTTTCGATATTTAGACACATATCTGTTGAACATATTGAACAAGATTTTCAAAAAGGGTGAGAATGCAGAATGGTAGGGGCAATATCCTGCTTAAAAGGTGATTGCCGATTAATGCTTCTTCTCTATATGAAAAAATGAGTAACGCAACAAAACTTGATAAATATATATATATATATATATATATATGAACTACCAACAAATAATGACCATAATACCTTCACCATGAAAATGTTGCAAGAGGAAACTTCCTCCAAATACTTTTTGTGAACACAATCAAGATAGAGGACATCAGAATATCCTTTGGCTTTTGCAGCAGATTGTGCCTTCAGAACCTACATACATGATATAAAAAGACAGCATTAGCTTGCAGAAAATTTAAGGAGTTTCATTGTTTCACTATCAAAAATATTTCAACTGAGGCAAATATATCGGTGAATGGATTCACTAAGCACCAGAAAGCTAGCTTACCGCAGCATAATTCCCAATAGTTTTAACACCCCCAGTGCCACCAGGAGTGGCACGATGCAATTCGTGTTCAACAATTAAATTTATTGGAGCAACACCTTCCTGGAATCATATATAAATTATGGTGAACAAATAATCATCATATGACGGTTTGCCAAAACTATCACAATAAGGAAACTGAAGGAATACCAATGGGTAAACCTAATGCAAATTATTACACCGCCAAACAGAAAGTTAATAGCTTGATATTATGAACCTTCATTTAAGTAAGAACATGGTAGAAGGGAGAAGGATTTTAAGACTTAACATAGCACAATCATGAATGGTTGCTTATCTCATACGGAACAAAACAACAAACCATCTTCATTGATTACTAATTTATGGTAATTATAAACATAAGGCCAAAAGAATCTTTCTAAAATATTGGTATGTAAAATTATAATACTTTATGGTAAACAAGTCTCTGGCTCAACAAAGATTAGAACATGTAGGAAAAATATCCACATAAAGTAGCACTTCATTTTTCTATTCAAATGTGTTATACTACTTTCAGGATAAAGTTACATTGCATACAAAGTCATGCTAATATTTTCCTCCAAGGTTATGTATAGGGATATAACTTCAAACCTTTTCATCGTTACATTATACGTACGTACGTACGTACGTACGTACGTATGTATGTATGTATGTAAATTTAAGAACTTTAAAACAAATTAAACAACTAACATATCCCTCTTGCTTGGCCAAAGAAAAGGAAACTTGATTAAGCTTATGAATGACAAAAAATCAAGCAATGGAGATAATAAACCTTAAAATAGTTTCCCACAGGTGAGACATAAATAAGAAAGGTGTACTCAGGAGCAGGTGCAACACCAAGGACAGCTCCACTCCCCATGAGCAATGGCCTGATATACAAGGACCCTTTACCTGGAGGGGGAACCTGAAACGAGAAATTAAAACTTTACTCATAAAACAGGTAAAGCCAATTGGTATCCAAACTCATACTTCAAATCAAGGTTATTAGTTACCCAGCGTTTGTTTGCCAGGACAGTTTCCTTAACAGCTTCCACAAACTGCTCAACAGTGGGTGCTGGCATGCACATCCTCTCTGCACCCAGCCTCATTCGAAGAGCATTCTCCTCAGGACGAAAAAGAAGAATGTTACTATTTTCTTTCCTGTAGGCTTTCAGACCTTCAAATAATCCCTACAGACATAAACCATAACATAATGATAGGAGAGAGATAAAAAGAGAACTGCTATATCACGATGCTTAAAGACAAATTAAAAATAAGTTCTACGCAGAAAAATTAAAGGGGGTCCTAACAGCAAATTATCTTAGAGCAGATATCACGCATGATGAACTCTCTCTTTTTCTTTTTTAGAGGGGAGGTGGCGAAGGAGGTCATGTTACATAATATCGGTATATAACTTACGTAATCTGTAAGCATTTGCAAATAAATCGATGTATGAATGCTGCACAGCAACCGTCATATAACCATAATGGGTAAGTAGCAAAATCAAATCTAAGCAAAAGTTGAAAACAAAATTCACTCATGAAAGTTAAGAAATCTGACCTGTCCATAATTTAAGACCCCAGCTGAGGGATTTAATTCAATATTCCCAAACCGTTGTAATTCACCTTTAGAAAAGTTTCCACCTTGAGTACATTTCATCATATACATATAATCAGTAGGAATAAACCCAAACCCAAGATTGTCCCACTCTATATCAGCTAGTTCAGATACTTCACTGCTGCATTCACAACTCAGTTGAGTAAAATACATAGAAGAACAAAAAAAACACCATTTAGGATCAAAAGAAGCAAAATAACAGATGAAATTTAACAATATCATAATATGATCTGTAGGCAGAGAACTTTTTAAGAAAATAAGATAAGTATTTTCCAAATCTCTCCACCTTTTAAAGAGATTTAGAACGGAATGGAACCAGCAATCATACTGGGGATAGAGATGCTTTTTAATAGAAAAACCTATTTCTTTTATCCTGAACCCATTTATATTCAACCAATTAAAAAAGAGATTAAATTTAACTTCTTATTAGCTTGAATTTTGGCATTTCTCTTGGCTTCTTTCATTATGTAAATTTCCAAATTACCGGATCGATTTCTGATTGCATTGGTAACTTTTTAGCTACATGGCTTTATTTACAGGCAATCATCTTGGGTATAAAGGAACGGCCAACAGCAAATAGAGCAAAATGCAAATTTTATTAAGCCAAAATAATAAACAAGTAAATGAAAGGCACAAGCTTTTTTTTTTTTGGGTCACAAAAAAGTTTAGGAGCAGGGGAGGTTAACCCATCTCCAAGGCCAGGGTAAGCAGCCAACCCACAAGAGGATTTCTACAGATCCTTTGGAACTTTTCAGACTCATAGATCGCCGACCGATAGGGAACTGTGGGGGTTCGAACTTGGGTGCTTTACATCCAGGTCCGAAACCTTAACCACTTGCGCCAACCCCATTGGCATAGGCACAAGCTTTTGCTACTCATAAAAGTCAAATTTTTTTTTTAATTTTAAAAGCATTTTTCATATGTACCCAAACATTACCCTTTTTAGTCATGCAAAAGTGTCAAACACAATGAAGTCTATTTTATTTAGGTACTTTTCTTTTTCAGCTTATTACCAAAGGCAAGAATATAATTTTAGTCCCTTTATCATTGTTCCTTTTGCTATTAGTTTTTTGTTTTATAAAAAAAATTGCCACAAAGTAGAAACTAATAATTGATAGAGAAAAAAAGAAAGTAAGCAAATAGTTAAAATGAGGCAATAATTCAAATAGAGTTGTTCAAAAAAAAATTTAATTAGAGAAAAATGTCGCTTATTTTTGTAACCAAATGCAAATTTTTAGTACTTTTCTTTTTTTTTCATAAGCAAAAAAAAAAAAAAAGTTGAAACCATAGAAAGCATTTATAATTAATAAAAGATAGATCTTCCAAACAAAGCAATAACCAAACACAGCTGCTAATGCTATCCTTTTTTTCACTTTATAGCAAAATTAAAACTTTGAAAAAAGAAAAGTTCTTCGATTAAAATATGCAAAAGAAAAAAAAAAAAAGAGCTACTAAAGAGGAGCCTTAATGAAAAATAAATAAACAAAGAAAGCAATGAAATTACGCAGATCTAATGCAATTTAATCATATAATTTCAAAATTTTAAGCTTGAGAGTAAAAGAACAAAGATCAGGCACCTATAAGAATCGGTCAACACAGCAGCACCACTAAAAGGAGAGTTGGCTTCATTAACATTTCGAAAGGAGGCAGAAACTAAAACTTGCTTCTGGAACTGCACAAGAAATGTATGAGCAAATAAGTAAAATCAAATACGGGAACTGAGAAGACGGAGGAAAAGTGAGGTTACCTTGAGAAATTGCGGCGGACAGAAACGCGTGCGTTGAGAGGAGAAAAGAGGAAGAAATGTGGCGGCCGCAGCGGAAAAGGAGGGGGAAAAGCGTGAAGGACAAAGAAGGAAATTTGGCTGGAGACTAGCTAGGACGGCGTTGCTCTCCATTCTCTCTCTCTTTTCTTTCCCTCTTCTCCGTTTCCCTCTTTTCTCTTTGGTGGAAAAGTTGCTCAAGTGTGCGTTTGCAGGCACCAGAGGGCTGACTCCAACTGACATGGATACTCTTATTGTCTTTATCAAATTTAACCTAAACTAGTCTTCGCTCTAAAAAATAATAAAAATATTTTTTAACTAATATTTTTAGATATTTTAAATTGAATTACTTAAAAATAAAATAAGGCGATTAGTGAAATAACACATAAAGCATTTAATTACCAAATTTAATACAAACAAATTAGGCTTGACGTTACATCCAATTTTTTATATCCAGAATTAATTTTATTTTCTCTCTTCTATCTTTTTTTTTTCCATCTCCACAAGTTTTTCTTGTCATTTTTTTCTAGATTTCTTTGTTTTTTTCTCTCTCCAGAAGTCTTTCCTCCTCGCATTCCTCTCAATTTATTTTTCTAAACATCCCTTTTTTTAGAAGTTTAGTTCAATTGCTCATTGAATCCTACTTATTTTTTTTAATTATTTAAACAACTTATTTACCTGAATTATGATTGATTTACAATTTAAACGAGCAGGTTAGTTGCCCTAGATTTTTTTATTCTTTTCAGTGTGAAATAAAAACACAAAAAAAAAAAAAAAGACAACAGAATCAACCATAAAATCATAACTTTTAAAAGTCATTGTTGAATCAGTTTCTCAATAAACCAAACCGCGTTTCCTCATTTGCTATATATATATATATATATATATATATATATATATATGTGTGTGTGTGTGTTATTTGGGGGTAATCAAAAGCATCAAGCCATCCGGAATCAGTTTCCAACACCACACACCTATATACTTAATAGTTAAAAACACTTACGGAAAAATCTAATCCAATTTTGTCATCATATCATATAAGCCATAAACCAGTAGAAGACACTCTCAACGAAACCTATCATACATCAACCGACGAAACTAGGAATAATAACATAAACCAACTACCAGACAAACCCACACTGAAAAAGAAGAAGATAGGGAAGCATTTACAAGTTTCAAACAAGATCCTAGTTAAAACCGGTTGCATATTTAGTTACTGCAACGCAAATTGATCCCTTCAAAGTCTATATTAGCTACTTCTGTTATGCTGCAATACACCAAAACAGAGTAATTAGAAGACTCCTTCTATCAATATCGATCTATCATAATTTGAGACGAGAGTGACGAGACTATTACCCAAGAGAGGAAAGAGATGAGTACCTTTGTGCAAAATGGTTAAACGTCACTGCTCATTAACTGTAGCAGCTCAAAAGAAACTATAATTCTACAGCTGCTTGAACCTTCTTGTCCTCATTCCAATTTTCTCATTGTCATCAGGTTTGGGAGCAAAATTTTCCTCAAGCTTCTGTTCACTTTCGTTTCTTTCTGACATGTCCTCCATTGGCTACAAAATAAAAAATTGCATGATCCTTAAGGATACAAAATAAGATCTGAAAAGGAAATTTAGTTAAGAGGCATATCAAATTAAAAAAACATAGATAACAAGAACACGGACTATTTTGCTCTAAATAAAATGCCTGGAACACTTCCTACTTGATGAAGTTACATAAATACCTGATCAACTTGAAAACCCATTATGAGAAAATTTATTAACTTGCCTATTAACAGGAAACGATAATGTTAAAAAACTGGAGAGACAACTACGGTAAGGGAAAAAAGCAAAGAACTTAGATTGCAAGTAAGAGCCTACTAAAATGTTGACACTAGCATCTGCATACAAGAAAAAGGAACTTGCAGATAGGCATGCATGACCAGCCCTTACCTGAGAGGGCTCAGTAACTTGAGAAAAGTTCCCCAACTGTGCTTCTTTCACCGTTCCTGGTTCCTCGTATCCACCATTCTCTCCTTCTGTAGCACTTGGATGACCACAAATTTCTCCACTTTGAGGAATATCCTGCACTGATTCTGCTACAATATCCTGCAAATGGTATCCGTTTCCTAGAATGGAAGAATCATGATCAACGGTCTTTTTTTCGTAGGTTACTTCTGAAATATTTATTATTTTATCAATAATCAGCACATTGGTCTCATCAGCCCCTCCTTCACCCTGATTGTATGACATTAATGCAGGCTGATCCACTGATGCATTTGGTTCAGCTGAACATACACTGAAAAAAAAACAAATGTCAACATAAGCAAAAGTGAGCTATGTGCATCAAGAAATAATCAGAATAACAATACAAGGCTAAATAACATGCTAAAAACAAAAAATTCAGAATAAAAGGACAGAAGTGGATACCTGAGAGTAATATCCTCTTCTTCAGTTACAGAAGCATCTTTCTTTTGCCTCCTTTTCTTAGCACCAGATGCCGGTGAGTCATCAACTCTTCTTTTCCTTCCAGCTTGAATTCCTTGTTCAAAAACTAATAATGTCTTCTCAGAATCATTTTTCTTGATTTCAGATTCCAAATCATGAATTCCTTTTACCACCTCACCTTCACAGGATACTTCCACTATCACTTTTGCTTCTCCAAGCCCCAAGGACCTTTCTTCAGGCTCAATTTGGGCCTCGTTGGGTGAATGTTTGAATATCAATTCGCTGCAACGCTTGATCCATGAAAAACGGGCAGAGCTAGGAGGAGATGCACCGGCTGGTTTTGACATTGGAGAGTTGAATCCATGGCCATTGTCGGCAACAACAATATTTTTATCTGAACCAGATCCAGCATTTTGCAAGACAGTTTGTTGTTTCAGATTCTTTCTTTCAGATGCTTTCTGCCTGTAAAGCTCAATAACAGAGTGTTGCAGTTTAGCCACTGTCATATCATCCAATGCAGCTTTCAAGTTCCCCAACTTTTTTAGTTCTTCAATCTCAGCATGAATCTCATTTCTATCGGCATGCAATAGTTCTCTCTGTTGCTTCAACTTGTGCCTTTGCACCTTAAGCTCCTCAATAGACTTGTTCAACTCTGCCCACTCCCTTTCTCTTCGTTCACGATCCAACTTGATCTCTATTCTCTCAGCATCAAGCCTTCTCATTTCTAAAGTAGTTTGTTCCAACTCTTTCTCTGCTCTTTCCTTGAGAGCATTAATATGCTGAAGTTCATTTTTCTTTTCTTGCTCAAATGCTTCCTCTCTTTCCTTCAAAGAACCTTCTAATTCCTCACGCCTTTTCTCAACACAATTCTCCAACTCCCTCTTTTGGGTTTCAATCCCCAACAAGAACTCAGCACGCTCTTGTTGAATCTTGTTGAACCAATCAGAATGCTCAAGCATCATCTTCCTCATGAAGTCTTCTCTCTCACAATTCAATGACTCAACATCCTTGTTATGCTGCTTTCGCATCACACCACACTCTCGTCTCAAGCTGTCACGTTCATCCTTGAGAAACTTTGAAACTGCTTCTCTCTCCTCATGAACACAAGCTGCTTCCCTCCGCAACTCTTCTCTTTTTTCATCAATCAACTCCCACTCAGTTTCAAATTTTGCCTTCTCTATTTTCAACCTATCTGCATCAGCCATAAGCTCCAATTTTTGAGCCCTAACCAAGTCAAGTTCTTCCTTTAGTTTTAATTCCAAAGTTGATAATTCGCGTGTCTCACTTCTCATGGCTTCTAGTTTTTCCTTTGCACAATCAACTTGAATTCTTTTATCTTCCAAAGAAGACAATGACTTCTGCAGCTCTAGTTTCATTTTACTTATCTCTTCCTTTTCTTTTTCTAAAAATGCTTTCTCCAACTCAAGTTCCTTTTCAAAAGCACTCAAATTTTTTTCCCTCTCATCTATGAGACTAGACTTCTCAGCCACATCCTTCTCCTTCTCTCCTAACATCCTCCATTGAACCTCAAAATCATGTTCCCTTTCACAAATTAGATCCTCCCTTTGATTGATATCCATCTCCTTCAACTCCCATGCTCGTCTCTTCATTTCAATCTCATCTTCTGCCATTTTGTGCTTCATTTCAAGCTCAGCCTCAAACTCAGATTTTCTGGTTCTCAATACAGTTTCATGACTATCAATAACCTTGCGAATTTCATCCTACATTATTCATTGAAAAGGGTAATTTTTCCATAAAAGAGAAACAAAATTGAAAATCATAAAGTGTATAGGACAAAGTAACTCACAGATTCTTTGATTGCAAGTTTTTCTTGAGAAACAAGCAGCTGTTGCTCTTTCTTGCTAAGTAAAGCTTCTCGTTCAATAACAGCCTGCATGCACAAAAGAGGAATTGAATTAATATGATTTTCCACAATGTAAAAGCATCAAATTCACATGGAAGTGCATCCAAGCAGAACCGTTATGGAAAAATGTAACATGCAAACCTCTTCTCTTTTTGACAGAGAAGCTAAAACCAACTCAAGGTTGGATTTCTCATCCTTCAAAGCTCTACGTTCCTTTTCAATATCCACTCTTGAAGCCTCCAACTCCTTCTCAAGTTGATTTAGTTCTTGAGTTCTACTAAAAATATACTCCTCTCTTCGATTCAAGGAAGCTTGTCCATCAAGTAGTCTTTCATGTTCTTGTTGTACAATCTTTTGCCTCTCACTCAATAATTGCCGTTCAAGAATGATCTCTTTCTCCTTTGCATCACAACTAAAACATGAAACCAAATAATTAAGAGACTCGTTGAACCAAACTTTTAAATAAAATTTATGACTCATGATTGCGCTATATGACATCATGGTGAAAACTATTATATGAATTATATTATCATCAGCAAACTGCAGAAATGCAGCCAAGCAAGCATGCATATCCAATATACACACAATATCACCCTGACCAACCCAATTACGTTTTACTTGTTCACTTTCGGCAAAGGCAATTCAATCATGTCTGTCTCATAAAAACATTTTAAATAGATTAAAAGGCTATCATGCTACCAGATTCTTATTTATAGTAAGTTTTCAATCCAAGACCTAATTCATATTGCAGTCCAGTAGCGTGAAGACTAAATCATATGAATACAGGAAGACACATAAGGCACAAGTAGTTCTTCTTCGCAAATAAGAGCATGTCCAAAAACTGCAAACTGAAAGGACCTAAAAAATAGAGAAACAACTGAAAAAGAAAATGATGGTACAAACAACATAAAGAAGGAAAAGGCAATGTGTATGACATACTCATTTTTGAATGATACAATATGTCTACTAAGGTCATCTTCACGTGCTTCAACTTCTTGCAGCTTTCTCTCAGCAGTGCGTCGAAAGAGGCTAGCTTCTGCTTCTAAAGACTTTGCAGCGTGAAACTTTGCCTCAGCCTCTGTAAACTTCTTCTCAGTATCCTCTATCATAATACGTGCTTCAGCTAATCTACTTTCAGCTGCAACCTTAGTTTCAGCAGATTCTGCACGCATCTCATGCAAAGCCTTCTCAATCTACGAAACCCCACCACAAAGTCCTAAGAAACATATAATTGTGAAAGAGAAGTGAAAAATAAATAAAACTACATTGAAGAGAGACTTAAATGGCAATCGTACACTTGCTATGCATTCTTTCTCAACTCCTAAAGCCTTCTTCAAACCATCCTCTCGCTTTTTTGCTTCTGCAAGAGCAGATAGATGTGCAGCTTGATCCCTTTTATGCATTATCTCACTTGCTTCAGCAGAGGCTTTAATTTGCTCATACTTGGAATCCAACTCCTTTCTTTTCAATATAAGAAGGCCCATGTGATGTTGGTGGTCAAAGAGCTATACACAAGAATAAATAAATATATAAATAAAATGCTAGAAAGCTATGTAGAAAGAAGCAGAAAATGAATGAAGCTTTACAACATGAACTTATGGAAGCTTGTAAATGATGCAATGATAATCAGATGCTAAACCAAGACTGCCATCATTCGTCACTCTTATCCGTTCCTTTGTATAAAGCATTCATTTAACTTTCATTCACCCATCAAGGTAGGTAAAGATCAATACTCAATAATATGCCATCCTTGGAACAAACAATTGCAAAACCTCAGATGAAAAAAATATACACATAGAATAGTATTCAACCACCAAATAATAGCAGAAACCGAGAAAGGCTGCCTAAAAACAATAAACAAAGTCTAAGAAGCCACAAAACAAACAGACAATAAATGTTCCTAAAAGCACTTACAAACCTACAAAGTTAAGAACTAAATGGTGCCATTTAAATGACCCCAACATCAACCACCATTTGGGTACCAGAAGGGGGAACAACACCTCAATCAAATAGTGCGAACAGATAGTGAGGTAAAAAAATCAAGTTTGCTCCATCAAAACTCATAAAAGGAAAACACATATTATGCAACTAGAATGGCATTTAAGTGAAGTAACAACACCTCAATCAAATAGTGTGAAAAGATAGTGAAGTAAAAAAATCAAGTTTGCTCCATCAAAACTCATAAAAGGAAAACACATATTATGCAACTAGAATGGCATTTAAGTGAAGTATGAACAGATAGTGAAGTAAAAAAATCAAGTTTGCTCCATCAAAACTCATAAAAGGAAAACACATATTATGCAACTAGAATGGCATTTAAGTGAAGTAACAAAACCTCAATCAAATAGTGCGAACAGATAGTGAGGTAAAAGAATCAAGTTTGCTCCATCAAAACTCATAAAAGGAAAACACATATTATGCAACTAGCATGGCATTTAAGTGAAGTACAGACCTTTTAACCAAGAGCGATGTTCAAGACCTAATGTGGTAGCTTGACACTGAAAATTGACCTCATAAATCACATGGGCACAAATATTGCAACAAATTCTATATATAACAGACTAAAATCTTTCCAAAGACAAAACCATTAACTTTTTATGTTGAAATCTGTTAAAGATCACTTCCATTACCCAACCTTTTTTTTTATATATATACTTATACATTTGATTTTCATTTTGACTTTGAGATTTAAAACTCAAACTGAAACGCCCTACAAAGAAAAAAGAATTTATCTTTTTTTTTTCTTTTGTTGCCACCTTTACATTTCACAATTTAAACTTTCAATATACTAATACTCTATTTTACCTATTGCACCATCAATCAAACAAAGCCTAAAAAAAAAGGGCAAAGAAAAAGTGAAAAACCATGAAAAATTTGAGAAAAGCAGTTTAAAGATCTAAAGCAAACCTCAGCTTCAAGCTTTGCAATATAAGCAATAAGAGCAGCTTTATCTCTCTTCTTGATCGATTCCTCATCGAATCCAGCTTCCTTGAGCCACCTCCCGATCGTTTCGTCACTAAGAGGACTCTTCAAAACCCTAGACCCCGGCGTTATAGACAACGCCCTACTGGTACACGGCGTGACCGGACTCGCCATCTTCCAAGCCCGATCACCGGCACCAAAAACCCTATACTTACTTGCGCCTTTAGCTACTTTTGATCGAATTTTTCACTTTTTTCTTTCTTCGCTGAAAAAGGGCGAGAGAATCAAAGCGCTGAGTCACCCGCTTACCGCTGAGTCGGGTTTTGTTCTTTAGAGAGTTGAAATCGGTAAGAAAAAGAACTTTCCATTGGGTGCTTTAAAAGCAACGTCGTATTAGGAAATTATTCGCCATCATGGCAAAATGATGGAAAGTGAATTGAAATTGGGAATGTTAAACAAGATTAGAGATGAGAGTAAAGACTAAGGTGTGGCGTCAACGCTCCATGTCAGCTATATTATGATTTTAACAAAGTTGATTGACGGCTGGTTTTCGTTGGAAATGTGCTGCTGCCTATGAGCTGAAGCCAGATTGTTACACGTGTTTCTTTACCATTGGGTATTTTGTATGCAAATCTCTCTCTTCATTCATTTTAAATTATTATCATTTTTTATCAATGCAAAATAGATATATCATATATACATCTTCTTGGTTTTATATTTTATATTTAAAATATATATTTTGTCCTATAAAATAGTAAAAAAATGTATGTGGTGTATATATACATATTTTATGTATATATACATAATATACATGTTTATATGTATATATGTTTAGGTATTTATGTGTATATATATATATTAAATATTTTTTAAAAAATTAAGATTTAATAAAGCAAAAAGGAATCAAAATTATTTTATGTATTAATGATGATAATTAAAATTTTATTATCATTAATATGAATTTAATGAGCATGATTTAAACTAAATAATAATAATAATTAAATGTCATCAATTTAGTTTTTAATTATTTTTTAAATTAAAAATTAATAAAATGAAATAAAATACATTTATTTATGGACATATAACAATTTTTGAAAATAAAAAATAATGATTCCAGTAAATTGTTTTTTTTTTTTTACATAGCATGTCATAATATTATAATTAAAAAATTTTAAATTTAAAATTATTAAATATCATATTTTAAAATAATTGTATGAATTTAATTAAGCAGAACTTAGGATTCAGTGCCACTTAATGAGTTAATAACGCCAACTGGTTTCTACTCCGTGGGACAAGACAAAAAAAGCCAAAAAGACGTTAGGTCTGAACTACAGTTACAGACGGAGTGATCTATGTAAAGGCCCAACTGAAGCAGAATTACCTTCTTCTTCTTCCATATAAGGAGCAAAAATCGTTTCATATATATTAATTCTTCACAGCACTGCAAAGAAAAATATCAACTAGATGATTAAATCTTTGATAAAATCAATATGAGGAGCTCACCTTCCACCACTCCAATAGACCAACCATTACAGAATATGATGTTGTTTCCTAAGAATTTCAATATCCTTCGTGGAAACAACAAAGGCTTATTCATGATGCTCAATGTCCTTCATATGAGCGGCACCAAAGTCATAGAACAAAGACAAGATAACATCACTATTTATTGGGGTTGTCAATAAAAATGATAACAGTTTCAATTGAATTATACTTGATTTAATTTTTTAAATATTATGTAATATTATAAATTTTTTAAATATAATTTAAATTTTGATAAATTTTTTATATGATTTTAATCTAATTAAATTTTATTAGTTGATTCAGTTTGATTTATTTTTTTAATTTTTATATATTGTTTTAATATAAAATTTTTATATATTTAAATAAATTTTGATATAAAATTTTTTTTATTTTATTAAAAATAAAAATATATATAAATTAATAAAAATAAAAATTTTGATTCAATTTATTTTTTATTTTTTTATTTTTGATTCAAAATTCAATTCAAATCTAATATATAAATTTAATATTCAAATTTAATTCAAATCAAATAAAAATATTAACTTCAATCAAGTCAAAATTACAATTTCAAATCAATTTTTAATTTTTTCAATTTTTTTTTCACCGCTGCTTGCCTTTTTTGTGGTCAACTTTTGTCGGATAAACTCAACTAGTCACTGTTGAGTTGGGAAGCTTGGAGGTTACATTCAGGTGATTGCTGGAGCAGTGAAGATGGTGGTGGTCTATCAATGGTGTCCTTTCGACGTGATCTCGTGAGTGCATATTATCTATGACAAACTGGGTTAGATATCTGGGCTGGGCCTAGTGATTAATAACTCAACGGGCCGAATTTAGGTTTTCAACTTAAACTTATTAATTATAACTGTGACAAAATTTCTTAAATTCAATTGAAGTTATAAATTTTTTAAATATATATATAATACATATATACTTATTTACAATATTTAATTTTAGAACTCTAATTCAAATCCAAGTATTAAATTCCATTATTTAAATCAATAATAACTAAATTGAGTCATATCAAGTTAGATTGGAATATTTATAGTATTTTTTTTAATGCAAATTCAAATAGAAAAAAAAATCTTTACTAAACTTAATCTCCAAGTTTTATGATTAAACTAGGTTTTGATCACATTTTTATTCAAACCAATTTGATGTTTACATCCCTAGTTTAAATATAGTATGTCTTCTTTTTAATTAAACATGGATTTTTGTAAATGTTAAATAAAAATAAATAGCAAACCGAAAGCTAAATTCAATTAGTTTAAGTAATTATTTTTAAAAGATTACATATAATACTAATAATCTTTTTTCTTATCTTTAGATTGAGTTGTCTTTAAAAAAAATGTTTATAAATTAGTTTATATATTTTAAGAAAATTTATCAAATATATTAATAGTAAAATTTTTAAATTAATAATATTTAAAAAATGACACATATCATTTAAAATATATTTTAAAAATTAATTAAAAATAAAAATAAAAATAAAACACTTATTAATTTCTTAACATCGCTTGTGGATTTAAAAAACACTAATTCATATTTTTATGTATAACATGGCTTTGTTAGGAAACTTAAATAGAATCATTTCCACTTAATTTCATGTTTCGTGCATTTTTTTTTAGAACAAGAAAGACGATAAAATATAGAGATGGCAATAAATAGTAAACAAATAGATATTTGTTATTATTCAATCTATTTATATCATATTTGAATAGTTATAAATAGATAATTAATGGATTCAAATAATTTATCACTTCTTTTTCCAATTGTAAATATCTAACTCTTAAATTGCATACATGTTAAAAAAAATATTTCAATTGCCAATTTTTTAACCTATGACTTATTTATTTATTTCACCATTTAAGCTATATTATATATATATATATGTGTGTGTGTGTGTGTGTGTGTGTTTAATATGTATATGTGCATATATATATGTATATATATTATCTTATATCTTATATAAGTATATAAAAGTCAAAGTTTTTGGTAAAAAAGGAAAATTTTCAATGTGAACGGTTTATATTATTGACATATGAACGATTTTAAAATTTGTCATGTGTCTTGTATTTTATTTTATTTGAATATTTTTAAAAATTAAATTAATTATATTTATTTTTTTATTATTATTTATCTTAAATCATTCTCAATTAAATTCATATTAAAAGATAATAAAATTTTAATTGCCATCATTATAAAATAATTTTGTGTTCTATTTTTTCAATTATAATATTCAACTCATAGATTACATTTGTGTAAAAAATTAATTAATTTTCAATTTTTTAATCTATAGTCTATTTATTTACTTCACCTTATAAGCTATATATACGTGTTTAATATGTATATCTATTAATTTTAAAATGATTAAAAGATGATCAAATCAATTAAAATTAATTTTGGAATATATAAAATAAAATGAATTTTATTACCATTATTACACTAATTTCAAATTTCTTATTTTTTTCTTTCATTTCTCCCAACTTAAATATATAATATGTTTGATTATTTTAAATATCAAGCATAAATAACTCTTAATTTAAAAATACTATTATTGATTATGATTTAGTTCTTAAATTCATTTTAATCAATTAGATATTCCCAAAACTAAAAATCATCCCATAATCATTTTCAAAACCCATCATATAAATAAGGGTATTTTGGGATGCTTAAGAAATAATTGTATCCCTACAATATTTTTTTTTTGTTGTCATGATATTCTTTTGTCATGCAATAAACCTAAGTTAGGTTTTTATTATTTTTGTTTGTGTTGTTATATGTAAATGGATTAGACACAAATTACATTATGTTTGGTTTTGTATTATTTTGTGTATTACTTTATTTTTTTTTCTTTTGTGTCAAGATCATTTAGATTAAATTTTCACCGTAGTTGCATACTAATTTATATTTTGAAAAAAAATATCATTTTGAAAGGAAATTTTAAAATTAAGCAAAATTTATCGACAATTTAATATTTTGGATTTCTTTTTAAGTTTTGGCCATTGCTATTAGTTTTATTATAGTTTAAATTATTCATATATTTTTATACCTTTTTTTTAGTTTTTGCTATGATCTCGATTTGTATACCAATTTTCAATTATATTTTATCTTGAAATTAATAAATGAACAAGCTAAGTGATAAATTTAAAAAAAAAAAGTGATCACTTATCACCTATCCTATCATATGTATGAAATATAATTTTTTTTTGTATGAAGTTAAATGATTTATTTCATTTCTTAGTGATATGATTTTTTTTGTTTGTCATTCGATATTATGTTTGTTGTTTTGATATTATTACTTTCATGATTTAACTTGAAGTAGAGCTAACTACTATTAAAGTAAATGAAATTTGATAGAAGTAGCTCTTTAGTTGCAATTTTTGGATAAATAAAATAAGTATTAGAAGAATTATGGTAAATGATAGTTATTTTCACAAAATAATTCAAAAAAAGGTAATTTTTTATTCAATATTTTACTATGCTATTTTTTTTTTCAAAATTTTTGGGGTTGTGAATAAAACATTTAGAATAAGATGAATTTCTTATAATTTAAAAAAAAAACATATATTATAATTTAGATTTAAGAAAAGTTAAATCCAAATATAAAATTTTGTTATCTTTAATATATTGAAACATAACAAAGAAGAGTTAAGCATGCATAATAAATTATTAGGTCTATAAATATTGAGGTTGATATGTTTAATTTTTATGAGAATGCTAACCGTATATTTTATCATTAAAAATAATTCTTTGTCAAAATTATAAATATAACATTTATTAAAATAAAACTGGTTGATATTTTTTTAATAAATAATACTTTAATTTTTAAATAGTAGTATATATATTAAAAAATTATCTAATTTTGTAATTGATTTATCTTTTTTACAAGTGATAATCTAATTTAATATCACTTTTTTTTATTATCACATGTCCAAATTAATTTATTTGATAATATTTGATTTTCAATGATGTTA